GAAGCTCCTCATTGAGGGTCAAACAGGATCAGGCTTTACCGTGGGCTACCTGCCCGTATTTATGCAGGTCTCCCACTTGGTGGACACTCTCCTAGGGGACCAAATGACAGACAATAGACAGACATATGGCAGGTCAGGACCCACAGACACAGAACATTCCCACAATGCATTAGTATTCCCTCCCCTCTGCCCTGGAGATAATTGAGAAGGAATTCGATTACCTCCAGGACAGAGGCAAATCGCCATTTTAAATTCAACACAGCAAAACATATAAAAATCTATAACTTTACAGTTGTCGAATGCTACCCATTCGTATCACGTATCCCCAGATAGCCTGCATCTGAGTGCATATTATTGGCGAATAGCGCTCAGATCCCATACGCATAGTTCAATCGCCATGGAGTCAAAGTCTATTACAGTCTTTCGGTATGCAATTGACTCCATGGGACGGCTACCTGGGGTAAGTCCATTCGTGTGTTTAAACCTCCCGAACGGCCGGTGTTCGCATACTTCTGTCGATTGAGAAGGGAGGTCGGCGGCTTCAGCGGTGTTCGGCAGAAAAAGTGTCCGTTTTCAGTTCCATGAAATCAATGCCAAGCACCGCTGGTCTTTCGCATGGTTTAAAATGGCCGCCGCCTCATGGTCAACATACGAACGACGACCACCCTGTATTCGGTTTTAATTGAGAAGTGTCTGCGGTTAACCACAACGTTCTAATTGGGATCAAGAGGTTAACCAGCAGCACACTTCTCTTCTGGGTGGCCGTCCGTTCGGTAGTTTTGTTCGGCGGAAAAGTCAATTCACTGAACAGGGGCATACTAACGGTAATTCCACGAACAAGGTAAAACAGACGAACCAGCAATCTTAGTCTATACAGATGGATCTGTCACAGCTTATAACAATTAACAGAGATCCAAGATAAGTATGCTCAGTTCCAGGATCGAAGTAAACATGGGGATATTCATTTCTACATGTAACGGCACCCCCAGGCATAAAAGGGGTTAAACACCGTTTAGAGGATATTCCCCTTCCAGATACACAGGCAGCTATGAAAGACACCAATCTGCTAAACAGGAAACCATATGAATGCCGTAAACAGCCGAACCGGAACCATACGAATGCTGTAAACAGCCAAATAGGAAAAACCATACGAATAGGTTTACACTCCTAGCAATAAAACTGGAACAGCATACAATAAATCCCCCCAAGAACGAGACAAGGCTCCGTTTTGAGGGTCAAGCAGTGAACAGACAGAGCTGTGGGTTTATTGTTCTTATATACACATTCTTACACAGTACCACCCACAGGGTTTTGGAAAACAACCAAGAAACACATACAATACACTTAGACACTCCCACACAAAATCCTCACCTCTGCCTGTGATACAATTACCTTACACAATGGGTAATGTAATTATCACAGGCAGAGAAATAGTTTTTCCACATTATTCATAACTTTAAAAGTATGCATCACATTCACATAAAATTTACATTTTCAGAATCAGCATACTTCAAATACATACATATGTCAAAATCATACAAATTGGTCCATTGGTTCAAAAGATAGATCGAAGTCCTTTGTGACCAAATGAAGCATGGCTTTTCTGCCCAAAACCAGTTCCACAGAGTCTTATATCCTGGAGATAATTGTGAAGTAATCCAATTATCTCCAAGGACAGAGGCAAAACTCCATTGAACACATGGTAGCAAAAGACAATAAAATACATAAAAATATATAACTGTGCAGCTATTGCATAAAACAGGTACATTCAACAAATCCCCAGATAGCTCAGATCTGAGCGCACATTATTACTGAATGTAATAATGTGCACACACATACAATTCAATTGCCATGGAGCCAAAGTCTTTCACATAGTCTTTCGTTATACGAATGGGCTCCATGGCATAGCTATCTGGGGTATCACTGTTCAAATAGGGCAAGTCTCGAATAACCCGGCTTTCGTGTCTTTGCAGGGGAAAATCAAGCGTTTCAACATGGGGCCATAGTCTAAAGGCAGCAGGCTGGCAACCAGGCTCCTCCAATGAACAGTGGCGAGATTGGTCTCGTCACACTACATTTTATTTTATAAACGTCACACAAACATAGTTATAAATATAGAGGATAAACATAACATTACAAATCCTGTTCTTGCCCTTAAAGTCATCAAATAATACTGTTTAATTTTGCAATTTGTGAAATGTCTGTTTTGACCTTATGGAGACATGATGTATAAGCTGCAGATATTTAAAATTCACCTCCACTAAAAATACGAATCCTCTGGGTCATTTGTATTCCAAGCCACAATGACACACAATTCACCAAACTGTCACGTTCCACGTTGATATATTGTGAGAGCAGGGTGTTTTGGGCAACATGATGACCAGAAACACATAGATAATAAGGTTAGCTCCCCCAAGTGGTTCTGTTATATTTCTTTAAAGAGTCCTCTTGCATCAATCGTGTCTTGTTAATGTCCTCCATATGTTAATATATTACCCAATCTGTTATCTGATATAATAATTTGCCTTTTTTCTTTTCATAGGATATCATCCTTACCCGGCTGTAAGCAATATGAATGGGAGCTGTGTCTGGGACTTACACTCATTTAAAATCATTATTTCTTATTTCTGTCAGTGTAATTCCTACTGACCAGGTTTTAACACTTTTGTGTAGTAATTGCGAAAGCTATTCAGCCAAACTTGTATTTTAGTTCTGTATGGAATACTGAAACAAGCTAGGGGCCAGCTAGGGACCTTGTAAGGACGCAGAATCTTAGCTAGTGGCTACTGAAGATTTTCAAGCCTTGCTTTTATTACAAAAGGAATCTAAACTGTCAGGTAAGCAGGTGTGTGAGACTTCTAGCGCACCTGCCACAATTAACATGCCTTGTTGTCCCTATATAGAGAATAAAATGTAATTTATTCATTATGATAGCCAAATCATAAATAAAAAGTTAATTTAACAAATCTTTTTCTCCTGCCTAATTTTTGCTTCAATGCCATCAGAATATTAGCAAAAGTACAAGTGTGGAAGTTTCTCTAACTTTTCAGATTTACACTGTCAGGGTGATTCGCTAATATTAAAGAAACGCTATAGGGAATGCAAGGTTTATTCCTGACGCTTTTGTTTTAAAAGCACTATTTAGGAGGCCGGCTTTTCTTCCCCCGTTAAAAAGCTGTAAAACTTACCCTTATGCCAGAGCCACGTGGGTTTGCCTAACCTGAGATCAACAAATCTGACGTAATTAGTCAAACCATTTGCTAATGATTTGACTCCTTACCTGTAGTTCATCGGATGCATTAGCTTCCATTAGATTTGCAGTGAAGGCCAGTTCATTGGCTGAGAGCATTGTTGGACTAGCTCAGATTGGAGATCTTCTGACTCCCAGCGGCCCCCAGTTAAGTTGTAGCAGGCTGTCACATGGCAGGACTGGGGCGGCCACATGCCCACGTCTGGCCTGCACGACCGCATACCTGCGCCCGGCCGGTGCAAACCGCATACCTGCGCCTGGCCTGTTTGACCTCTTCTCTGCGCCCGAACAACGCAGACACATGAAGGAAAAACGTACCTCTTGTCAGGTCTCCCTCCACTCTCCACGCTACACTGCTGGAAGTCGTGCTGGTGTTTCCATTGACACCGGCCACTTCCCTAAGCTGCTATTTAAAGAGATAGACACCAACTGGGACCAGCCATCAATGGGAATTCTTCTTAAGCTATTAAAGTTCATTTTGCCCATTTTTTGATGCCCTGTTGTGATTTCCATTTTTGTAGTTAATCCGAGAGCACGTTTATTTCTTGTATTTTCTGGCATTTGACATTGGCTTATCTTTGACTATTTTCCTAAAGTAATTTAGGTGACCATAGTGTTCCTTTATATCTGCCTGTTGGATTCAGTCTGTCCGTGACACAGGCCTGGTATTGAATTTGAATACATTTTATTGAAGAAACTTTTTTTTTTAAACAATTATCAAACAAACTGAATTGTCTCATGGAAAGCTTTTGAATGAAACAAAATAGAATGAAATTGTTAAGAAATGATGCACACCGCCCAATTATGTTCTGTGAGTGTCTGCGGAAAATTCTTATGAAGCTAAAGGAATAACAGTTACTGTCAGAAGCATTTCTAACCCATTAATACTTGGTTTCAGTTTCAATAGAAATGTGTCATATACCATACTTGGTTTCATTAGATAAAATGTCGCATTGTGATGTCAAATATGTGTTTTTAGAGATTTGTGCATTCTGTTATTCTGTCAATATGTGTTCCTACCTTGAATCTGGCTAAATGTTGCAAAAATGGATATAAAATTTTACATTTGACCAGAAATTTACAAGAGGTGAGAGTTTATATTCCAAGCCATCTTTGAGGGAGTCTTGAGGGGTCACACTTACCCCATCATCCATAGGCAGAGGGTAAGCTGTTTCCTACTAGCGTTGCCAAGCAACTACTAACCTGCTGTTTCGCACAGTTCTGGATTTTGGATGGCGTTAACCAGTAATGAAGACTGGTTTCAAGTACCGTAGTGCCTACAAGAGTTACTCGCTAGATGATCTACTGAACCCATTGCCCGATATGTGGTGGGGGAAGGGTTGCCACTTCACTGATACTGGGCAGCAATTTAAATTCTCAGCAATTTACACTTTACTGAATAACCTGTTAATAAGGCCAATGTTTTTATAAGCCTGGCCAAGTGCTGCTTTTAGTGCACAGAGCTATTACCTCTCTATATTTAGAGTCACTGTCAACTCTGTGATTTTAGCTCGATCCAACAGGTAATTAACACGTAGCAACTGGTTGTGCCATTTTTTATTTTTTTTTTAAATTGAAAAGTATGTAAATAAATTAACCCGTACAATGTCAAAGGCAATGCACGTGTGTGTGTGTTAAACATTGGTGAAGAAAAAAATCAATCACAATATTTTCCACTGGAACTCTGCTCTCTCTTGATAGACAAAACAAGGATTCATTTGTTCTTTTTACAAAAAAAGGTTTAATTGTGGTTTTCAGTTTCTTCAATAAAACCCTTTTTTTTGCATGGTCAGTCATATTTTCAAAATCACAATTTTACAAGTTCTGCCAGGGTGTGCAAACTTTTGAGCACAACTGAATGTATGCGTTTATGTAAAATTTATATTTTTGTTTTATTCTGAAGCTGCTGACAACGCTTCTTTCAAATTCAAACTAAAAGTATTTAAATTTTGATCATTTATTTGCAGAAAATGCCAAGTGGTCGAATCAAACTAAAAACATGCAGTGTTTTCAGACATTGAATAATACAAAGAAAAGGTTTGTAAATGTTTAACTTGGGAAAAGTTCAGAAATCAATATTTAATGGGATATCCCTGACTTCCAATCACTGCTTTAATGAGTCTTGACATGATGCTCTCCACCAGACTTTCACATTGCTGTCGGGTGACTTTATGTCAATCCTGGCACAAAAATTCAAGCAGCTTGGCTCGTTTGACGGCGTGTAACCATCCATCAGGTCTGGAGATTGGACTGGCCATGACAGGGTCTTGTTCTAGTCGTCTTTCATCCACCCCTTGATTGATCTGGCTGTGTTGATGGAGCCTTGTCCTGCTGAAAAAAAACATCAAAGTTGAGGAAAACCGTCAAAGCAAAATGGAGCAAGTTTTCTTCTAAGATAACCTTGTAAGATGCTTCATGTGTCTTGTACGTGGCTTGATTCGTGCATGAGGCTTGTACGTGGCTTGATTCATGTATGTGGCTTGTACGTGGCTTGATTCATGTATGTGGCTTAATTCATGCACGTGGCTTGTACGTTGCTTGATTTATGTACATGGCTTGATTTATGCATGTGGCATGTATGTGGCTGGATTCATGCATCCTTTACAAAGAGGAAGCTACCTGATTGCAGCATGGCAGTAGCACCCCAGCTGCCATTCCTTTTGTCGGACAGTTGATGACATCCTATATAGTTGGTGGTCATCCCAGTCAGTGGAGAGTCATTTTTGTCATTTGAGACTCTGTAGCTTTATTGTCCCTAATGTCAGCTGCATGAACTTGTTATTACGAATGACGTCACCGTATTGAGTCAAGCAGTAACTAAGCCTTTGTTTTCCTCCCTCAAAGCCTTTCTTTTCTTTCAAAGCCATAGTCAGTAGTTAATTTTAATTCCAATTAATTTTGAGATGCAGCCAGTGCTGTTTTTGCCATCCAGGTTATTGCAAGAGGACAGTACTGCCCACTCAGTGATTTTTATACTTGTCCTCATCAAATTAGATTTGGTGCAGGAGATCACCTAAAAAGTAGAATGAGGGCTGCATACACTGGAATGGCTGACATAACGTACATGTAGAGACGTTGATTGGAGTGTTTTTTTTTTTTTTCAGAGCTGTATATACACGGGTATGAAAGCTAAAAAAAATGAAGTATAAAGAATTGAAAACCCAAAATGAAAGTGTTAGTTCTCCTTTATGCACACGGTCATGTCACTATATATTTAAGCACCATATGCCCCAATTTTCAGTTCCATATTCTCTATTGACCTGGTTGAGGCTATGTGTGGTCACTTTGCACGCAAAGCACCAGAGGCCCAGGCCCTACAACCTGCAGGGATTCAGTCATTTTCTAGTTATTCTTTTTACTTTTTGTTTTACACGTTGAGGTTACATAGTATATACGAAATCTAATAATATTTAATTTAGGCATGCATTTTCTAATCACGGAGTCATTCCACTATTTATGTTATAATAGTTTGACATTCCCTGTAAGATTCCTGCGTAATCCTTGTTTTAGTGCATATTCCTTGTTTAGTCTAATCCTTGTATAATCCTTGTATACTGTATGTTATTCTTTATTTAGGGCAAAGGTAGCCATACCAGTAGCTATACTAGCCAGTCTAGATTGTGAATACACTGTGATGGCTTTGTCCTAGGACACTAACAGCATTATTCACTGCACTGAGAATTGTCACCAATTCAAAGCAGATTCAAAGCGAATTTCTGATTTAAGAGCAATATGAACAAACTGGAAACGGAGGGGTGTGTCAAGTTCAGCTACTTTGGCCTTAAATTTGAAATTAACTTTGAATTTTGAGCGGCTCCCACGTTCGTGAATACCTTGCGTCTCACTAAATACAATTTTGTTTTAAAGTTTCTCATTTCATGTTCACGGAAGGTAACAGTAAGCAGTTGTTCCATGTTTGGTTTGATTGGAGATAACGGGTTCTTTTCAGAGGTTACAGATGTGTGGAAGATTTTAATATAGGTTATTCCACAGTCGGAGAAAGCTGCGTGACCTGTTTCATTGTAACAGGGAATGGAAACTGCGTAACTGAAACACTGAACCTACATAGAGAAGTAGTTATCAATCAGTAAGATAAGGAAAGTCATGTCTAGACTTAATTGTCAGCTGGTTTAGGTCTTTTAATGGGAACTGACACTTCTCTGGAATTCACAAGATTGAATAAAACATTCAAACTCAGACAGTCCATTATCTTTTTAATTTAAATTAAATATTTAGCAGATTAAATCAAAATCCAGTCTAGATAAAGCAAATGCAGAGTAATCAAGTGAAAAGGAAAAATAGAAACATTGTTTCATGTCTCTTCCTCTCTGAATACGCTCTCTGTGACTGGCAGGTGTAAAGGGCGGAGCTTATAACAATGATTGACAGGGAGCTGAGATGGAGGCGGCTCTCTCTATACTGACTGCCAGGTGTAATGGGTGGAGCTTATAACAATGATTGACAGGGAGCTAAGATGGAGGCGACTTTCTCTATACTGACTGCCAGGTGTAATGGGCGGAGCTTATAACAATGATTGACAGAGAGCTAAGATGGAGGCGGCTCTCTCTATACTGACTGCCAGGTGTAAAGGGCGGAGCTTTGTTATATTGGGAGGGGGAGAGTAGCGCAGATGGGACCCCTATTGTACCATATGTGCTGGCGTTCCGGGATCGCCTGGAGGAATTAACTCAGGCAGTGCGCACTAACCTCCAGGCCACCCAACAACGTCAGCGCCGTTGGTATGACAGGGGGGCCAGAGACCGTAGTTTTCAAGTGAGGCAGAAGGTGTTAATCCTCAAGCCTGTCCGCACAGACAAACTACAGGCCGTCTGGCAGGGCCCATACCAGGTGGTAGAGCAGAGATGCGATACCACCTATGTGATCGGCCCATGCTCCGGGGTAGGGAAGCGACGCATGCTCCATGTGAACATGCTCAAACCCTACCACGAGCGAACTGAGGACGTGGCAGCCATTTGCACGCCCGCCTCGGAGGATCAGGAGAACTTACCTCTCCCAGATCTGTTAGAGCAGGAAGAGCAGAAGGAGCCCTCCCAGGGGGTTCAGCTGGGGGAGCGGCTAAGTCCTCAAGAGCGCACCCAGGTACAAGAACTGATAGCGCGAAGGGCGCCACCTTTTCTAACTTACCTGGGTACACTCCACTAGCCACTCACCGAGTAGAAACCCCGGGACAGCTCCCCATGCGACAAACCCCATATCGGATTCCTGAATCCGTACGGGAACATATGAGGAAAGAGATTGAGGAGATGTTGCAGTTGGGGGTTATCGATCACTCCAATAGCCCCTGGGCATCGCCGGTAGTCCTGGTTCCCAAGAAAGACGGTACCACCCAGTTTTGTGTGGACTACCGGAGGCTGAACGACAAAACCGTGTCGGACGCTTACCCGATGCCCCGGATAGACGAACTGCTAGATAGGATGGCCAGAGGTCAGTATCTCACGACAATAGATCTTTGTAAGGGATACTGGAAAATTCCACTAGCCGAGGACGCCATCCCAAAGTCGGCGTTTGTCAACCCGTTTGGCTTGTTCCAATTTCGAGTCATGCCATTCGGGATGAAGAACGCCCCCGCGACATTCCAGCGGATGGTGGATCGGCTACTGGACGGGTTCCAGGATTATGCGTGTGCATACCTGGATGATATTGCCATCTACAGCCAGACCTGGGCTGATCATCTACAACACATAGGGGCCGTGATAGATCGGATTGTAGAGGCAGGGCTTACCTTGAAACCCAGCAAGTGCCACATAGGGATGGCGAAGGTACAATACTTAGGACACCGAGTAGGGAGCGGGCAACAGAAGCCTGAGCCTGCAAAGATTGAAGCCGTAGCCCAGTGGCCCACCCCTAGGACTAAAACCCAAGTCCTTGCCTTCTTAGGTACCGCCGGGTATTATAGGAAGTTTGTGCCCAATTACAGTGCCCTGGCCAAGCTCCTGACTGACTTGACGAAGAAAAACCTGCCCAGGCAGGTCATCTGGGCCCCAGAGTGTGAACAGGCATTTAACCAACTGAAGACGGCTCTGACCAATGCTCCTGTACTTGCTGCTCCTGATCCAACTAAACGTTTTCTTGTCCACACAGACACCTCAATGTTTGGATTGGGAGCAGTACTGAGCCAGGTCGGAGCAGATGGCGGAGAACATCCCGTAGCATATTTGAGGCGGAAATTGTTACCTCGAGAAGTGAGCTATGCCGCCATCGAAAAAGAGTGCCTGGCCGTGGTGTGGGCCCTGAAAAAGTTACAACCATATCTCTATGGGCAACCCTTTTCTTTGCTCACAGATCACAACCCGTTGGTGTGGCTGAACCGTGTGGCTGGAGACAATGCCAGGCTGCTGCGCTGGAGTTTAGTGCTGCAGCCTTTTGACTTTACTATCCATTATCGCCCAGGGAAACAAAACGGTAACGCCAACGGGTTATCTAGACAAACAGACCTTGAGAAGTGATCTATGAGCCCTCATCCGGACATCCCCAAGCCGATCCGTTGGGATCAGACTGTGTATGCCGGCTTGGTTCTGGGGGAGCATTGTGGCAAACCTAGCCACTTGGACTATATCAAGAGACTGTACCTTTAAGGGTTGCCTGTATGTCGGTGGGGATATGTGTTCAACTATGTACAATGTATGCTGGCTGTAATACCTTGAATTGCCTGTATTTGCTATCCGCCGAATGCAGATAGCTATTTGTATTGGGTTTTCCTTTCGTTTCACGAACGGCACTTTGGCGGGCCGTTCGTGAACCGAAAACACTCCATATAATAGCCCACACACTTAGAGGCGTGTGGCGCTTGTTAACCGATTGCAACAATGTTGCAATCGGTAATTAGAGGCTCTCCTAGGTGGCCGCCGTTCGACTACCGACCATGCGGCGGTCGTCCATCTTGGATCCTTTGTTCCCTCAGCGGTGTTAGGTCGTCGAGCGCATGGTACTAAAAACGGCTACTCGACGGCGCGAACACCGCTGAGCCTCCAGGACGTTCGGGAGTTCCGGGCCGTTCGGTATTTCATTCCCTGGAAAGCAATCGGTCTTTTAAATATGTTTTTCAACAAATGTGTTTTTCGTGCGGCGTTCGGTTGTTTTAGCTGGGATCTGAGCGGTAATCTCACGAATGATGCGCTCAGACCCTAGCTATCTACCGAACGTCCATTCGTGCAAATAGACTGCATATTCGAAAAGTTATGTATTTTAATATATGTCGGTTCTGCTGCACGGAGGGATAATCCACTTAACAGTATATTCCAGGGGGAGGATCCCTCTCGTGCAGCAGTGCCTGATGGGAGAAATGCCTTGTACTGTAAGTCCCCCATGTAGTCCCCTCTGGGAATGTCGCTGGGAAGGGACTCAGGAAACCCCTTGCATGGGGACTTGTATAAATTGTGGAGCTGAATTAAAAGACCTCAGTTGACTCTCAGAACTGTGTTTCGTCCGGTTACTGGGAGATTTGGGATATTGCCTTGTTGTTTCCAGCGCTTGACTGTGGATTACTTCCTGAACCAGCGGAATTCGTGGATTTAATATTGGCGTTCCGCTACACACATGTTCATGATTTGGCATTGTTGGTGGCTTTTCTGTTACCTGATCCTTGACCATGGTAGGCAGTTATTGACTACATCTCCCATAACGCTCTAACAGACAGAATGCCGGCAAAGCTTCAAGGGAGATGTAGTCCACAACATCGGGAGTGCTGAAGATTGACGGCTCCTCTCCTAGACTGTAAGGGAGTGGTGAAGGGTCAGCTCTCAAAATATAAATGGAAAATACAACAAGTAACAAGGCAGCACACCTGAACAATATAGATAGTGTCTTGTCTGTAGGAGAGTCATATGAAATATAAAAGGAACAGCAATAGTGTTCTCTATTTAAAAAACAGAAGTACACAGATAAAATATAAAGTGGTTACTCACATTTACATGAGCAGGCGAACTGCTCAATGTATAGGGCTTGAGTGGTATAATCCCCACCTAGGATTCTTTGGAGTAATGTCTCACTGGAGCAGGATAAAAACTCAGAAGCCAGGTAAAAAAGTATTAAAATAAAATAAAAAAGTAAAATGGCAACTCACAGCGAGGAAGTGACCAAAATACAATACAGTTATTAAAATTGATGGGTTTTTAATAAGAGGATCTTTAGGGTAGTTCTTTGTGAGTATGGATCTGGTATTTGGTGCTCCTCTAAATATTATCCTAGGTTTTTCTGGGAGTAGATTTTTTTACATTTTTGTAAACAAAAGCATTCCAGAGTCAAATCAGCAACATTTATTTTAATGGCACATTTGGGATTTATTTATTATTGAAGACAAGTTGTGGTGTATAGATCAGAACAATGACCAGAATTCCATTGTTTTGTCTTGTGAGTAGTCTACTTTCAGACATTTGATCCTCTGTTGAAAATAGATGATTTCCTTGTTTTTGACAGCCTGGACCATAGGTGGAGCTATTGCAAGTGTATCTATGTGAATATAATGTACTGTTTATCCCGGCTAGAAGCTGCAGAAGATTGTAAACCTTTATATTATAATGGACATGAGGTTGAGTAGGTGTGTCGGAGCAGCAACATCCATTATCATTTATAATAAGTGTGTTTGGAAAAGCATTCCTTCCAAGTGTCCCTATTTAGGAGGGAAAGTCTCTACTAATGTCCCTCTTTTCTAGGAGCTCCATATTGTTGTCTGAGTATGTAACAAAGCTACTAATACTCCCAGTAATGTGTCTGAGTGTATAACAGAGCTCCACACAGCAATAATACTCCCAGTAATGTGTCTGAGTGTATAACAGAGCTCCACACAGCAATAATACTCCCAGTAATGTGACTGTGTATAACAGAGCTCCACAGCAATAATACTCCCAGTAATGTGTCTGGGTGTATAACAGAGCTCCACAGAAATAATACTCCCAGTAATGTGTCTGAGTGTATAACAGAGCTCCACAGCAATAATACTCCCAGTAATGTGTCTGTGTATAACAGAGCTCCACAGCAATAATACTCCCAGTAATGTGTCTGTGTGTATAACAGAGCTCCACAGCAATAATACTCCCAGTAATGTGTCTGAGTGTGTAACAGAGCCCCACAGCAATAATACTCCCAGTAATGTGTCTGAGTGTATAACAGAGCTCCACAGCAATAATACTCCCAGTAATGTGTCTGAGTGTATAACAGAGCTCCACAGCAATAATACTCCCAGTAATGTGTCTGAGTGTATAACAGAGCTCCACAGCAATAATACTCCCAGTAATGTGACTGTGTGTATAACAGAGCTCCACAGCAATAATACTCCCAGTAATGTGTCTGAGTGTATAACAGAGCTCCACAGCAATAATACTCCCAGTAATGTGTCTGAGTGTATAACAGAGCTCCACAGCAATAATACTCCCAGTAATGTGTCTGAGTGTATAACAGAGCTCCACAGCAATAATACTCCCAGTAATGTGTCTGAGTGTATAACAGAGCTCCACAGCAATAATACTCCCAGTAATGTGTCTGAGTGTATAACAGAGCCCCACAGCAATAATACTCCCAGTAATGTGTCTGAGTGTATAACAGAGCCCCACAGCAATAATACTCCCAGTAATGTGTCTGAGTGTATAACAGAGCTCCACATCAATAATACTCCCATCAATGTGTCTGATTGTATAACAGAGCTCCACAGCAATAATACTCCCAGTAATGTGTCTGAGTGTATAACAGGGCTCCATAGGAATAATACTCCCAGTATTGTGTCTGTGTATAACAGAGCTCCACAGTAATAATACTCCCAGTAATGTGTCTGAGTGTATAACCGAGCTACCCAGCAATAATACTCCCAGTAATGTGTGTGAGTTTGTAACAGAGCCCCACAGCAATAATACTCCCAGTAATGTGTCTGAGTGTATAACAGAGCTCCACAGCAATAATACTCCCAGTAGTGTGTCTGAGTGTATAACAGAGCCCCACATCAATAATACTCACAGTAATGTGTCTGAGTGATAACAGAGCTCCACAGCAATAATACTCCCAGTAATGTGTCTGAGTGTATAACAGAGCCTCACAACAATAATACTCCCAGTAATGTGTCTGAGTGTGTAACAGAGCCCCACAGCAATAATACTCCCGGTAATGTGTCTGAGTGTATAACAGAGATCCACAGCAATAATACTCCCAGTAATGTGTCTGAGTGTATAACAGAGCTCCACATCAATAATACTCCCATCAATGTGTCTGATTGTATAACAGAGCTCCACAGCAATAATACTCCCAGTAATGTGTCTGAGTGTATAACAGGGCTCCATAGGAATAATACTCCCAGTATTGTGTCTGTGTATAACAGAGCTCCACAGTAATAATACTCCCAGTAATGTGTCTGAGTGTATAACCGAGCTACCCAGCAATAATACTCCCAGTAATGTGTGTGAGTTTGTAACAGAGCTCCACAGTAATACTTCTCTAAGTAATCTGTTATCACAGAGCTGCACAACAATAATACTCCCAGCAATGTGTCTAACTGTATAACAGAGCTCCACAGCAATAATACTGCCACTAATGTGTCTGAGGGTATAACAGAGTTCCACAGCAATAATACTCCCAGTAATGTGTCTGAGTGTATAACAGAGCTCCACAGCAATATTACTCCAAGTAATGTGTCTGAATGTATAACAGAGCTCCAAGTAATAATATTCCCAGTAATGTGTCTGAGTGTATAACAGAGCTCCACAGCAATAATACTCCCAGTAATGTGTCTGAGTGTATAACAGAGCTCCACAGCAATAATACTCCCAGTAATGTGTCTGAGTGTATAACAGAGCTCCACAGCAATAATACCCCAGTAATGTGTCTGAGTGTATAACAGAGCTCCACAGCAATAATACTCCCAGTAATGTGTCTGAGTGTATAACAGAGCTCCACAGCAATAATACTCCCAGTATTGTGTCTGAGAGTATAACAGAGCTCCACAGCAATAATACTCCCAGTAATGTGTCTGAGTGTATAACAGAGCTCCACAGCAATAATACTCCCAGTAATGTGTCTGAGTGTATAACAGAGCTCCACAGCAATAATACTCCCAGTGATGTGTCTGCCTGTACAACAGAGCCCACAGCAATAATACTCCCAGTAATGTGTCTGAGTGTATAACAGAGCCCCACAGCAATAATACTCCCAGTAATGTGTCTGAGTGTATAACAGAGCTCCACAGCAATAATACTCCCAGTAATGTGTCTGAGAGTATAACAGAGCTCTACATCAATAATACTCCCAGTAATGCGTCTGAATGTATAACAGAGCTCTGCAGCAATCATACTCCCAGTAATGTGTCTGAGTGTATAACAGAGCTCCACAGCAATAATACTCCCAGTAATGTGTCTTAGTGTATAACGGAGCTCCACAGCAATAATACTCCCAGTAATGTGTCTGAGTGTATAACGGAGCTCCACAGCAATAATACTCCCAGTAATGTGTCTGAGTGTATAACGGAGCCCCACAGCAATATTACTCCAAGTAATGTGTCTGAGTGTATAACAGAGCTCCACAGCAATAATACTCCCAGTAATGTGTCTGAGTGTATAACGGAGCTCCACAGCAATAATACTCCCAGTAATGTGTCTTAGTGTATAACGGAGCTCCACAGCAATAATACTCCCAGTAATGTGTCTGAGTGTATAACAGAGCTCCCCAGCAATAATACTCCCAGTAATGTGTCTGAGCGTATAACAGAGCTCCGCAGCAATAATACTCCCAGTAATGTCTGAGTGTATAACAGAGCTCCGCAGCAATAATACTCCCAGTAATGTGTCTGAGTGTATAACAGAGCTCCACAGCAATAATACCCCCAGTAATGTGTCTGAGTGTATAACAGAGCTCCACAGCAATAATACCCCCAGTAATGTGTCTGAGTGTATAACAGAGCTCCACAGCAATAATACTCCCAGTAATGTGTCTGGGTGTATAACAGAGCCCACAGCAATAATACTCCCAGTAATGTGTCTGAGTGTATAACAAAGCTCCACAGCAATAATACTCCCAGTAATGTGTCTGAGTGTATAACAGAGCTCCACAGCAATAATACTCATAGTAATGTGTCTGTGTATAACAGAGCTCCACAGCAATAATACTCCCAGTAATGTGACTGAGTGTATAACAGAGCTCCACAGCAATAATACTCCCAGTAATGTGTCTGAGTGTATAACAGAGCTCCACAGCAATAATACTCCCAGTAATGTGTCTGAGTGTATAACAGAGCTCCACAGCAATAATACTCCCAGTAATGTGTCTGAGTGTATAACAGAGCTCCACAGCAATAATACTCCCAGTAATGTGTCTAGGTGTATAACAGAGCTCCACAGCAATAATACTCCCAGTAATGTGTCTGAGTGTATAACAGAGCTCCACAGCAATAATACTCCCAGTAATGTGTCTGAGTGTATAACAGAGCCCCGCAGCAATAATACTCCCAGTAATGTGTCGGAGTGTATAGCAGAGCTCCACAGCAATAATACTCCCAGTAATGTGTCTGGGTGTATAACAGAGCTCCACAGCAATAATACTCCCAGTAATGTGTCTGAGTGTATAACAGAGCTTCACAGCAATAATACTCCCAGTAATGTGTCTGGGTGTATAACAGAGCTCCACAGCAATAATACTCCCAGTAATGTGTCTGAGTGTATAACAGAGCTCCACAGTAATAATACTCCCAGTAATGTGTCTCTGAGTGTATAACAGAGCTCCACAGCAATAATACTCCCAGTAATGTGTCTGAGTGTATAACAGAGCTCCACAGCAATAATACTCCCAGTAATGTGTCTGAGTGTATAACAGAGCTCCACAGCAATAATACTCCCAGTAATGTGTCTTAGTGTATAACAGAATTCCACAGCAATAATACTCCCAGTAATGTGTCTGAGTGTATAACAGAATTCCACAGCAATAATACTCCCAGTAATGTGTCTGTGTATAACAGAGCTCTACAGCAATAATACTCCCAGTGATGTTTCTGAGTGTATAACAGAGCTCCACAGCAATCATACTCCCAGTAATGTGTCTGAGTGTATAACAGAGCTCCACAGCAATCATACTCCCAGTAATGTGTCTGAGTGTATAACAGAGCTCCACAGCAATAATACTCCCAGTAATGTGTCTGAGTGTATAACAGAGCTCCACAGCATTAATACTCCCAGTAATGTGTCTGAGTGTATAACAGAGCTCCACAGCATTAATACTCCCAGTAATGTGTCTGAGTGTATAACAGAGCTCCACAGCAATAATACTCCCAGTAATGTGTCTGAGTGTATAACAGAGCTCACAGCAATAATACTCCCAGTAATGTGTCTGAGTGTATAACAGAGCTCCACAGCAATAATACTCCCAGTAATGTGTCTGAGTGTATAACAGAGCTCCACAGCAATAATACTCCCAGTAATGTGTCTGAGTGTATAACAGAGCTCCACAGCAATAATACTCCAGTAAAGTGTCTGAGTGTATAACAGAGCTCCACAGCAATAATACTCCCAGTAATGTGTCTGAGTGTATAACAGAGCTCCACAGCAATAATACTCCCAGTAATGTGTCTGAGTGTATAACAGAGCTCCACAGCAATAATACTCCCAGTAATGCGTCTAGTGTATAACAGAGCTCCGCAGCAATAATACTCCCAGTAATGTGTCTGAGTGTATAACAGAGCCCCACAGCAATAATACTCCCAGTAATTTGTCTTTAAACTGCAATAAATGTGTTTAGAAATCAGCCTGTAAATAAGATACAGTACATTGTTCTTGCTATGAGTTACATTTTAGTTGGACAAATTGTTATTAGTAAGTTACATAACATTGCTCAGAACAGCCCTGCCCCTGGACACCTTCCTAGGGGAGGTATGGGAGTCTATCAGTATATATATATATATATGTTATTATTATATTTATATAGCACCAACAAATTCCATAGCACTGTACAATGGGTGGACTAACAAACACGTATTTGTAATCAGACAAGTTTGACACACAGAAACAATCAGTATATATATATTTATTATTAATTTTATATTTATATATCACCAACAAATTCCATAGCACTGTACAATGGGTGGACTAACAAACACGTATTTGTAATCAGACAAGTTTGACACACAGAAACAGAGGGGCTTACATTTATTTATAAAATATTTTACCAGGAAGCATACATTGCGATTTCTCTCGTTTTCAAGTATGTCCTGAGGATGTCAAGTATGTACATGATAGAGAGAGTGGGGTAAAGTGACACAAAAGGTAAGGGAAGTATTAGGGAAGTAGATTGATAGAAAATTATTCAATGAAGAATTAGTGTGTTTTTTTTTTTGTTTTTTTTGGAGCCATTAACAGTTTAATGGGACACTATAGTCACCAGAACAACTACAGCTTTATGTAGTTGTTCTGGTGAGTACGATAATTGCCTTCAGGCTTTTTTCATGTAAACACTGCCTTTTCAGAGAAAATGCAGTGTTTACTTTGCCCCTAGGGACACCTCCAAGTGGCCACTCCTCAGATGGCCACTGAAGGTGCTTCCTGGGTCAGTGCTGCACAGTAGGCAG